AGGCTTATACCTTGACAATAACCTGAATTTCAGCACCCATATCCAGCATATAGCCAAAAAAGTATCCAAAACGGTTGGGATCCTCTCCAAGATACGATACTACGTGCGCAAAATGCCCTTCTCACACTATACCACTCGCTTATTTATCCATACCTCACCTATGCTATTTGTGCTTGGGGATCAACTGCAGCAACACACCTAAAGCCAATAATAACCCAACAAAAAGCTGCAGTAAGAATAATCACTAAATCCCATCCCTGGCAGCACACCCCCCCAACTCTTCAAAGATCTAAACTTACTCCCAGTTCAGTACATCCACACTTACTACTGTGCAATCTATATCTACAGGCCTTAAACTCTAATATCAACCTTGACCTTAAACGCTTTCTTGATAGTTGTGACAGAACCCACAGCATAACACCAGAAACAAACATCTCTACGACATTCCCCGTGTCCGACTAAACCTTTACAAAAATTCAATGTATGTCAAAGGCCCTAAAATCTGGAATACCCTACCTGAGAACTCTAGAAATGCAGACACATTCATCACCTTCAAAACTACCATTAGAAAACATCTTATCTCCCTGATACACCCCGTCAACTAACTTCACGAATACCACCTGGTGGTTCCACTTACACTCGCACACTCATTTGACCATAAACAGAAATATTAATCTCAGTCTTAATATAATGAATCCTGTGATACTCCAATACTGAAACTATATACTGTGCCAAAACAAAAGCATTCACACTGCTAAACTCACAAAATAGTATTTAGTCACTTAGCCATAATACCAACTTACCTCATAATTTGTAATATTTTACATTTAAGAATAAAACTAAGTATGCCCGAAATGCCTAGCCATGCTAAGCGTTCTAGTGGTACACTCTGTAATCTCAATTTTACTACATGTTAAACCAAACAATAACCAAATTTCTGTAAACTCAGCATTGTAATCCTTATAGAGAATAAACTTTGAATTTGAATTTGAATTTGAATAGTGGCCTGTACCTCTCGTTCCTTTATGACTTTCCTAAAGTGGTTCACAACATTGTCAGTGTAATAGTCACCAGCACGGCTTGCAATAGCTGTGTTAGGGTGATTGTTATTAAAAAAGGTTTGCAATTTAAGCCACATTCACACATTTCCTTAATCTTTGAAGTAGGCAACTTCTTCAATTTCTCTCTCCCCTCCTCCGAACCAGTTTCCTCAGGTCTGGCCTCTTGCTGTTGAAGTTGATCTAGCAGCTCATCAGTGGTTAGTTCTTCATTGTCCTCCTCCACCAACTCTTCCACATCATCCCCACTAACCTCCAACCCCAAGGACTTTCCCAATGCCACAATGGATTCCTCAACTGGCATACTCCTCTCAGGGTTAGCCTGAAACCCTTCAAAATCCCTTTGGTCTACACATTCTGGCCACAGTTTCTTCCAAGCAGAGTTCAAGGTCCTCTTAGTCACTCCCTCCCAAGCCTTACCTATAAGGTTTACACAATTGAGGATATTAAAGTGATCTCTCCAAAACTCTCTTAGAGTCAATTGAGTTTCTGAGGTCACTATACAAAGCACCTTTCAAACAGAGCTTTTGTGTACAGTTTTTTGAAGTTTGCAATAACCTGCTGGTCCATGGGCTGCAGGAGAGGAGTGGTATTAGGAGGCAAAAACTTCACCTTAATGAAGCTCATGTCCCCATAAAGTCGCTCTGCCACGTCTGTAGATGACCAGGGCATTGTCTAACACCAGGAGGCACTTAAGGTCTAATTTCTTTTCAGTTAGGTAATCTTTCACATTGGGGGCAAATGCATGGTGTAACCAGTCATAGAAAAAGTCCCTAGTGACCCATGCCTTATTGTTTTGCCTTCCACAGCACACACAAATTAGCCTTGAGGATATTCTTTTGCCTGAACGCTCTGGAGTTTCTGAGTGATACACTAATAAAGGCTTCACTTTGCAATCACTACTAGCATTGGAACACATCAACAGAGTAAGCCTGTCTTTCATAGGCTTATGTCCTGGGAGTGCCTTTTCCTCCTGAGTAATGTAGGTCCTGCTTGGCATTTTCTTCCAAAACAGGCCTGTTTCATCACAATTAAACACTTGTTCAGGTTTCAGTCCTTCACTGTCTATGTACTCCTTGAATTCCTGCACATATTTTTCAGCTGCTTTGTGGTCCGAACTGGCAGCCTCACCATGCCTTATCACACTATGTATGCCACTACGCTTCTTAAATCTCTCAAACCAACCTTTGCTGGCCTTAAATTCACTCACATCATCACTAGTTGCAGGCATTTTTTTTAATTAAATCCTCATGCAACTTCCTAGCCTTTTCACTTATGATCACTTGAGAGATGCTATCTCCTGCTATCTGTTTTTCATTTATCCACACCAATAAGAGTCTCTCAACATCTTCCATCACTTGCAATCTCTGTTTCAAAAACACAGTTGAACCTTTGGCAAGAACAGCTTCCTTGATTGCTGTTTTGTTGGACACAATAGTAGCGATGGTTGATTGGGGTTTACTATACAACCTGGCCAGCTCGGAGACACGCACTCCACTTTCATACTTAGCAATGATCTCTTTCTTCATCTCTATAGTAATTCTCACCCTTATTCCTGTAGGGTTGCACTAGAAGCTTTCTTGGGGCCCATGGTCACTTATTTTGCAGATAAAATCACTAAAAACACTGTAATAATACGAAATGTTCCGATTGTATGCTTGGATGTTACCGTGGAGGCTGGCTGGTAAACAATGCCACCAGCAGAACATGTGAGGCTGGCTCAGGCCGCACATTAGACGCGTCTCGGACGAACAGCGTTGAGCGGGTTTTTTAGCGATATGCGAGGCAAAATCTTAGCGATAAAATGTATCGGTATGCGGATTTAATGTTATGTGATGCCAACTGTATGCGGGGGTCCATTTATTTGCTTTTATTCTGCTTTTTTCTTTTATTTTTTATTTTATTTTTTTTCAAGTAACTTTTATGGTCTGTGAGACCAATATAATGCATATTGTACATATAATGGTACCCCAAGTTTCGTACAGCTCCCAACCCGAACAATTATGTAAGTGTATTATTGTAAGTGCTTTTGTAAGTGTGTTTTTGGGGGTCTGAAACGGACTTATCTAATTTACATTATTCCTTATGGGAACAAATTCATTCGGTAACGGCACTCGAACAGCCTTCTGGAAATAATTATGGCTGAAACTCGGGGTGCCACTGTACATTCACTCGTATGCTACACAGTACACTGTATCTGCACAAACATTGACAAGTGAACAGTTTCACCTACCTTAGTCACATACTATTGTCTAGAAATATATACATAGTATTTATAGGTCCCAGCAATGTTTTGGATGTGCAGGAATATATAATAATAATAATAGTAACTGTATTTGTGTATACCTGAATAAACTTACTTACATAACTTGAAATGTCCATTTTAGCAGAACGCCATAAAGCGGGCTCTACTGTACTGTAGTTTCATTCACTGTCACTTTAATTGAATAGGAAGATCACTTATTCTTGTGTGATCAAGTGCTCCTTGCTTTGATCCATATGATTACTCATATAACTATTAACTGTAACTGAAATTAGTCAGATGGAAGCATTCATTTTCAAAATAGTTCGTCATCCTTAATAGTGAGGGTTGGGAGACATCTGTTACCAACTGAAGAATCAGGCTGAGTCTTGTCATCCACAAATTATCTAAAGGTGGAAGTTGTAGAGTAAGACTATGAGATTTACAAGCTTAGTATGTACTTGGCTTCTTCCTAAGGGCCAACATGTTAGTAAACACATAAGTGATCGTGTAAGTAAATAGCTGACATGTCAACACCACTCACTGCCACATGCATGTATGATTCCTTGTCATCACTAAAATGTACTAGTGTTTCAGCTATGCACACTGAATAAATTGTTACCCTTCACATGACTGAATAGTCCTGTAATAAAGACATCAGTCACCATTTTTCTATAGAAACAAGTTGATCTATGCTAAATTTATATAATCTTCACAGTAGTGCAAGATCTTTCCTTGAGTGAATCAGGCAGCTGACTAGTGTTTAGCACTGGTACAGAATATGTTGCATACAATGACAGAGTACAGGGGCATACCAGAGGAAAGAACAGAAAGGTGACTCGGTGAAAAATGGTTACACATCCATTTCTGGTGTATAAAAAGTCTGTTTTCAAGTTGCTGAATACAAAAGCAGTTTTATCTGCATAACCCCATGTACAATACTCCTTTGTAAAACACAGCAGTAAATGTAACATGTTTCATAAACAGTGCTGCCATATGACCCTTAAGAGTTTAACACTTCATGAATATATTATGTAGAACACTCAAAACAGGAGATGCCATACTAATGATAATACTTTTCATGAATATAATATATAATAGTATACACAATGCATGAAATAACTAACAAAGAAGTTTCAAAAGCATGTACATATAATAGTTTACTAAAATTTCATATCACTTTATTTTTAACAGCACCCATCTATCTATCTATTTTAATAATGAGAGAAGTTTCATATAACAAATCCTGTCTTTAATGCTCATCATTCAAACTATTTATGTATGCTTAGTAATATGATTCATTTTGTATGTATTGTTTCGTGTATGCAAAATAATTTTCATGCATTAAGTTGTATCATGTGAGTGTACTTACATACAGTGAAGAATAATTGATGCACACAGTTATGTGGTAAGGCTTTGCTCAGAGGTGATTACTGTACCATACAATAACTATATACTGGTAATTAACAGCTTCTGCTTGGTTTACATACTGTTATTTTTTAACTTTGTGAAATTATTATAGTAAAATATTTCAGTAATTCATGATCTATTTAGTTCTTCAATAAATAAATGCTTTGAATGTAGAACAACTTTGTGATCTCGTGTATTCACTACAAAACTGACATAAGTTCAGACAGAAAACATTTAAAATATTAGTTAAAAGGTTAATTCGATATTTCATTTCTCATTCTCTCTTGCAGATGATGAGGGGATAGCAGAATCGGGTATGTGACAGGAGGCTTATGGGCTGCAACCATTACCAGCCTATGCAAATTTAGATATAAAATGACAGCCACAATCTACTTTCTGAGAAGGTTTAAGAAAAGAATTTCCAGAGGCAATTGCTCAGTCTGGAGAAAACGGACATTGCCATTTGACAAATCACATACGAGTGTTTTTGATAGTGGTAGATTATCTGATTGGTAATTTTATCTATAGGTGTGTTGACAAATCTTGAGAGAAGTGTATGAAATGAGAATTTTGATAATTGTAAATACTCAGTATATACTAGTAGATATGACATTCTGAAATTTTAAAATGCAGTATGCATTTTTTAATGTTTGTTGTTTTACTGGTACATATAAGAAATTTTAATTGAAATGTCATTTCTGTGAAATAATCCTACCTCTTCTAATATTGAAATCTTAAACTAATGATTAACACCACAAGTTGTGGTGACATGGACACATTATTGTGTTGGTACATATGTGAAACAAAAATTGTAACATTACTTGTGCAGTGTAATTGTATGCAATGCCTAAAGACAATTCAGTAATGTACTGAATTTAATATACCCACTTAATGATAATGAACATTTTATGTACCTAGTGCCATTTTGTCTCAGAGTTTTAGTGACAACTCATTAAGATATAACAGGAGAAACATTAATCCGTCCTCAAGACTGTAGTAATATTTCTATTGTATATTTTCATTCCTTTATATTATAATTATTTTTATTTATGTATAATTTTTTCCTATTATCTTCCTTGAATCTCTTATTGTTTATGATGGTCTTCATAGGTTGTTTTTGTTTTTGACATAAGTTTGTTTAAAATGCACTGATGTATTCTACAAGACATAGTTGATATTTCTTGTTTATTTACATGTGTTCTTTCACAGGTCTGCTTCAGATATGTAATGCATCTGAGTTATGAATTCATTTGCTAATGAGTAAATAACTAGACTTGTTGAATTATGATTCTGAATGCCAAAATAATGAAATACAATAAGGTTTCAGTTGTAACAATAGAAAATTTAAGCTTTGATTTTTATCTTGTGCTTTCTTTAATTAAAGTTAATTACATCTTTAATATTTTCCTCGTTCATGTTTTCATGTTCATTACTTGGTTAGGTTATTTTCCTGCTTTTGTACTTACCCTCAGAGGAGGTCATTTTTCATTTCATGGAGAAAAACACAAAATGCAATCACTAGGACATGCTTATGGGAAGCATTGCAATTCTGATATCTTGGTCACTCCACATTTGGAGTGACCAAGATACCGAAATATTTCTAGTAAACATGCCCTAGTGATTGTATTTTGTATTTTTCTTCACTACTCATTGGTATCGTATACTACCTTTATATCCCATTTTTCATTTCACACACACTTTCATTTTTCACAAATATGTAAACAGCTGATGAGTGTTCCACCAATTTCATAGCCAAACCTATGTGTAAAATTATCTGATTTTTACACTTGAAGTTCAATATAAGTGACGTTTAACCCATTCATTGTCTGTGCCATAGTACTATGGGTTTGACGGCACTGTTGGTGCTGTAGTACTACGCCATGAGCTCAGCTCACTCATATAAGCTGTGAGCGGTAAATTTGGGCCTAAATATGAGAGAATGGGTCTGTGTGGTAAGTGTGCACCATATAAAAAAATTCTGCAGCACGCAGTGCACAGTGAGAAAAAACTGTGATAGTGTTTTGATTTAAAATGGTGATGTTGCAGGTATTGTTGTATAGTTTTTATGGTTGTATTCTTGGTTTCTTGGTCTTATTTGATAGAATAGAAAATATATTACAGAAAAAGAGATGATTTTGATTGGTTTCAGGACTGAAAATAGTTTGAAATTGAGTTCAGAGTAGCTGAAATGTTCGATTTTTGCCAATATCCCAGAGTACACAGTGATATCACTTGTCCAGTATGCGTCCAGCTTGCCAGTCTAATATGCATTTAGGAATGCACTGAGATTCTTTATACAATTATTATAATAATGCAGTAGTCTGCATAATATAAATTTTCAATTTTTGCGGATTTTCAAGAGTAAACAAATCATGTCATTCGTTCAATACACGTCCAACTGGTGGGTCTAATATGTGTTCACGAATGCACTGACATTACTTAATACAATTATTACAATATTGCATAAGAGTAAATCTTTTTTTTTTTTTTTTAGTAAAAATTCTTTGTGTGAATAAAAAATCAAAATGGAATTCATATGTAAAGCCTGGGAATGTAACTGATGAACAGAGGAAATGTTATTTTAGTGCTAGGAATGCCTGCATTGTTTATTCTGGACCCTATTTTGAAATTGGAATATTCTGAAATTTGTGTGAAATTGGCCAGATTACCAATTTCTGATCACTTTACTGGGTAGTTGAAATACAGTGGACCATCGCCTAACGGCTGCATCGGCTAATGCCAAAATCGGCTAACGGCTCTCTTTGGCGTCAAAATATTGGCTCGACCGACGCCAAAAAACTCGGCTAAGGGTTTTCATCCTGAATGTGTACATGCGCCCTGAGCGGGCCCAGCCACTCCAAGGCTCCGTGTATAGCCAGTGTGCCATTGTTTACAAGCTGTTGCGGTTGATTCCACGTTTACATGCGATATATTTTGTATTATTCCATTGTTTTTAGTGCTTGTAACTGCTAAATAAGCCACCATGGGCCCAAAGAAAGCTTCTAGTGCCACCCTGTGGTAAAGAAGGAAAGAAACACAATAAAATTCAAGAAAAACTCATAGCAAAGTACCAGAGTGGAGGAGGAAGAGAGAGGGGAGAATGTGCCTTCTGCAGTGATTCACTGATTATACAGTATGTACGATACTAAAGCAGTAGGTATCGATAAAGGCTATAGTGCCAGCCAGCGATAAAGTGTAGAATTAACAGTGTAGCAAGTAAGTTAAGTGAGTAAGCGATAGAAAAACGACACGAAAGTAATTCTCCAATGTTGTTGGATGTGTGTATATCCGCTAAACGTACGCCGGCCTGCTATCTTCCACTACCCTAAATCTCTGCCAGCATCTCCTCCATCAAACTAACTAATTAAACTAACATCTCTTCCAAGGTAAGTGTAAATATAAAAGTGTAAGCATAAAAGTAAATTTTTTTTTTTTCAGCAAACTGGCCGTATCCCACCGAGGTGGGGTGGCCCAAAAAGAAAAACGAAATTTTCTCTTTTTAAATTTAGTAATTTACACAGGAGAAGGGGTTACTAGCCCCTTGCTCCCAGCATTTTAGTTGCCTCCTACAACGCGCATGGCTTACGGAGGAAGAATTCTGTTCCACTTCCCCATGGAGATAAGAGGAAATAAACAAGAATAAGAACTAGAAAGAAAATAGAAGAAAACCCAGAGGGGTGTATATTTCTTTCTTTCTTTCAACACACCAGCCGTATCTCACCGAGGTGGGGTGGCCCAAAAGGAAAAACGAAAGTTTCTCCTTTTACATTTAGTAATATATACAGGAGAAGAGGTTACTAGCCCCTTGCTCCCGGCATTTTAGTCACCTCTTACAACATGCATGGCTTACGGAGGAAGAATTCTGTTCCACTTCCCCATGGAGATAAGAGGAAATAAACAAGAATAAGAACTAGAAAGAAAATAGAAGAAAACCCAGAGGGGTGTGTATATATGTGCTTGTACATGTATGTGTAGTGTGACCTAAGTGTAAGTAGAAGTAGCAAGACATACCTGAAATCTTGCATGTTCATGAGACAGAAAAAAGGTCACCAGCAATCCTACCATCATGTAAATAAATTACAGATTTCCGTTTTACACTCACTTGACAGGACGGTAGTACCTCCCTGGGCATTTGCTGCCTACCAACCTACTACCTACAATAAAAGTAAATATAAGTGTAAAAGGACCCCAATGGAAATACGTAAGTCACTCTGACTTTTTTGGGTTATCCTAGGTACTTTACACATATGCTGCTATGTATGATAATCTGTGTAATTGTATTTGTGTATACCTGAATAAACTTACTTATTTATAAATTAAAATGTAAATTTTTCTTATTTATGACATTATGACATATTCATTCTAGAGTGTATATCATGTTTCTATGTTATTAATGTTGTATATAATGTCATATTAGATGAATTGTGATAGATAAATAAGCCATAGAGATGATAATAGCATCATATTGAAGCATAATAAACTTGCCTTCCTCTTGCCTCCTACGTGTCTACCATACACCAACAAGTCAAGTAAAGTCAAGTTAATAAAGGTAAGTCAATAAAGGTAAGTGTGATGTTAAATGTTCATTTATCCATTTTATTAGTGCTTTATATTTGTTTGTCATTGTTTTTTGTATGTATATTTATATTTAATCTTTAAAAAAAATATTTTTTGTTAATATTTTTGGCTGTCTGAAACAGATTAATTGGATTTCCATTATTTCTTATGGGGAAAATTAATTCGGCTAAAGACTAAATCAGCTAAAGGGTAGCTCTCTGGAACGGATTAAAGGTGTTAGCCAAGGGTCCACTGTACTTGATTGGATGGTTTCTTGTGCTCAGTTGATAAAATGGAAGACATATTAGCAAAACAGCTAAGAATTTGGTCTACTGGAACAGTGTATGTAATTGGGCTAAAATAGGACTCCAAGTGGGCAAAACCACCGAGGCATGAATATTGCTGACACAGCAAAATTCACAAAAGCATAATTTCATCATTTTTCCATCAAATTTTGTACTTTTTGTTTTAATAGCTTCAAAAAAAGATTCAATGCCATTTCATGAGAAAAAATAACAAAAAATTTTTTTTGAAAAATCTTGGATGCTGTGGCCAAGTTTCAGAGCAGGGGTCTGGACAATGAAAGGGTTAATTGTGTATATATTATATACAGTACAAGGTCTGTTATTCATATTTGATAGTGCAGTGGTAAGCAAGATAATTATGGAATGGAAATGTAATAATATTCGTAACTGGTAATATATATTAAAAAGTTAGTAGAAGAGTGAATAATTAACCTTTCCAGGGTCGAGAGGCCCTCTCCTAAACTTGTTCTCAGGGTCAAAAACTTTTCGGAAAAATTTGTTTTTTTCTTGTGAAAAAATAGAGAATCTTTTCCCGATCATAATGACACCAAAAGTATGAAATTTGATGGAAAACTTAAGGAATTATACTCTTACGAAGTTAGCGGTCTCGACGACGTTTACGCATTGGCGATTTTGCCTGCTTGAGCCCTATTTTCTGTCGAATGAGTACAAGAAACCACCCATTTACCGATTTCAACTATCCAATAAAGTGGTCAGAAATTAGCAATTTTGCCAATTTCACACAAATTTCAAAAGATGCCAATTTCTAAATAGGGTCCAGAATAAACCAGACAGACATTCCTGGCACTAAAAATAACATTTCCTCTGTTCATTAGTCACGTCCCCAGGCCCCTCTTACATTTCTTTGCTTTCCACTTTGAATTTTTATTCTCACAAAAAATAGAAGATTTACTGTTATGCAGACTACTGCATTAGTGTAGAAATGGTATAAATAATACCAGCGCACTTGTGAAAGAATATTAGACTCACCAGTTGACATGTATTGGACGCGTGGCATGATTTGTTTACTTTTGAACTTTGGCAAAAATTGAACATTTCTGCTAATTTGAGTTCAATTTCAAGGTACTTTTCATTGTGAAACCAATCAAAATCATCTCAATTTCTGTAATATGTCTTCCATTCTATAAAATGAGACCAGGAAGACTAGAATACAACCATAAATACCATACAAAAATACAGTGCAAAGTCGCTGTTTTAAACCAAAAACACGGTCAAAGATTTTTTTCTCATTACACACTGTGCTGCAAGATTTTTTTTATATTGTGCACACTGACCACATAGACCCATTCTTTCATATGTAGGCCTACCAGCTTTCTCTCACTAGATTTGAAGGCGCTAGAATTTACGCGTACTAGTACATCAATAACCCTGGTGTGTAAGCCGTACTAGTACATTGGAAACCCTGAAAGGGTTAATATTGATTTAACAGATTTCATTTTTAACGGGCAAAATTTGTGGCAATACAATTTCCAGAAATAATGGACAAAGTCCATTAAATCCAGAATTGTCTGTTATTGTTATACATAGTTTGCTGGGTAAATCTGAGAGGGTTGTCAATGACTAAATGATAAATACACAAATAACCCGCACATAGAAGAGAGGAGCTTACAACGACGTTTCGGTCCGACTTGGACCATTTACAAAGTCACACTAACCAGAAGTGGAACAGGACGGCTATATATAGGCAGGAAGAGGTAGTGGTGGTAGTAGTAGTAGTAGTGGTAGTGGTCATGTCACATCAGAGATCACAGCCATCCTATTGACTGGTCTTCCGCTAAAACTGTCTTCCCTACTTCCAACTCTAACAGTCGCCGTCTAATTGAATCCTCTCTAATACACAACTTTCCTTGTATGAATCTTAGTCCTGGCTTCGTCTCTGTAGATGCCATCCTCTCCCACTACATTGTAAAATGCTCCAAACTTCAGAATACCCGTGACTTAACCTGATTCCTTATTTTTTCTTCTTCTCCCTTTTCCCCTTTCCTCTTTCCTTTTTTGCCTTTCTTCTGTCGCGTGTTTCTGTTCCTTCATTATTTATTTCATCACTTCCTCTTCCCCCCACCTCTGTGCACTTGCTCTCCCTCTGTGGGCACCTAGCTCCCTTGCAGTGCTCCCCTTTCTTTGTATTTGACTGGCTCCTCCTCCTTAATTCCCCACTACTACCACTACTACTACTACCACTACTACCACTACTACTACTACTACCACCACTACTACTACTACCACTACTACTACTACCACTACTACTACTACTACTACTACTACTACCACTACTACTACTACCACTACTACTACCACTACTACTACTACTACCACTACTACTACCACTACTACTACTACTACTACTACCACTACTACTACTACTACCACTACTACTACCACTACTACCACTACTACTACTACTACACTACTACTACTACCACTACTACTACTACTACCACTACTACTACTACTACCACTACTACTACTACTACCACTACTACTACCACTACTACTACTACTACCACTACTACTACTACCACTACTACTACTACCACTACTACTACTACCACTACTACTACTACCACTACCACCACTACTACTACTACCACTACTACTACTACAACTACTACTACTACCACTACTACTACTACAACTACTACCACTACTACTACTACTACTACTACTACTACTACTACTACTACTACTACTACTACTACTACTACTACTACTACTACTACTACTACTACTACTACCACCACCACCACCACCACTACCTCTTCCTGCCAATATATAGCCGTCCTGCTCCACTTCTGGTTAGTGTGACTTTGTAAATGGTCCAAGTCGGACCGAAACGTCGCCGTAAGGTTCTCTCTTCTATGTGCGGGTTATTTGTGTATCGTTCCAGTCACGGTATTGTGCCTTTTTTTGTTATTTACTAAATGATAAAATAACACAGGACATCATTAGACCCAAGATTATTGTTACATTTATATCATCAGTGTTATTTCTTTCTTATTTACTTTGGTGGTGCAGGTCATTGCTGTTTGAGTAAAGTTAATGATTTCTTGTCATTTCTGAGTTAAGTGTCTAGTCTTAACAAGAAAATAGCATTTTATGGGACCATGGTTGAATGAGTCTATTAATGTGTAGTGATTTATTTTATAGATATATATTTTATATTTTGTTGATGATATTAATGTAATAGGTTAGTAATTACAGTATATGCATAACTTGGAGACCTATTACGTATTCAAATAAAAATGAACATAAGGAACATACAGACATTTTTCAACATAAAAGTGATGAAGAAGGATGATCTTGGCAGTGATACAGTACAAGGTGACTCCACTTAATTAAGGATTCATCAGTGGATATAAGAAAGTTATTTCACATTAGTCAGTTAAAACTTGAGAGACATAGCCTAGAGCCTGAGTTCACCAGCTGTGAACTCAAATAGGTAAACATAAATTCTGTTGGTAATTACACAGATAAATATGATGGGCAGGTGTAATGAATGGGGCCCCTCCCAGGAATCAGCCCTAGGATCCATAGTTTCATACACACATGTGGCAGTACAATGCATGAATATTTGTGGATGTTGCGATAGATCATTTGAATTTTGATGCCTGTGCACTTCCAAGAAAACAGCTAGAGAATGAGTGATTGTGTTTCCTTTAGTTCACCCTACCTTAATTGGAAATGGCAGATGTGTTGAAAAATACTATTAATTAATTCGAATGTATTTTCATACAGTACCTCTATGTCAGTGTTCGTGGATGATGCAAAACTACATCATTTGTGACTAATGTCCTTCTTGTCCATCTCTCTCTTCCCCTATATCTTCCACCTCTGCCAGGTAGTGCTGAATAACCTTGAGTGCTTTCCATGAATTAAATTGTCCTGGTCTTTATGCTGTTGGGTTATCAGTGATTCACTGCTGCTTGAATGGGATTCAAAAGGAAGTAAAGTGCTACAGCCACTGGAAACTTTTAGAATTTATATGAAGAGCCATATAATGAAAACTGGATCCACAAGCATGACTTCTATATCTGCAAATATGCAAACAAATAAATAATCACACACAATCCTTAGAACAGTACTGTTCTTAGTATATATTAGCGAACTGCCTGAAGAGTTCAAATCCTACATGTTAATGTTCACAGATGATGAAAAACTCATGAGAAAAATAGAAATAGTACGTAACTGCAAGAATCTGCAAGACGATGTAAATAAAGAGAGAGAGAATGAAATTCAGACTATTAGCATGGCTGAGAGATGTTCTGTTTGAAAGAAAAAACAAACAGTAATGCTGTATGTAAGAAGAAAATTCTTCATTGGTAAATGTCACTGCTGGGAGTTTCACAAGAATTGGTTCTTTCCTTGATAATATTTCTAATTTATGCAAGTGATACGCCAGGAATAAAATACTGTTTAAAATTATGCAAAAAATCTTATGCAAAGTAAGGAAATTAAAATAATCAGTTCCCTACAAGAAAAGTGAGCAAATGGAGTAACAGGTAGATGATGAAATTTAAATTTCATTGTTAGTCATTTAATGGAAATAGGTGAAAATGAAAACAGGTCACATGAAGAACATAATGAGAAAATATTGAAAGTTTTAGACAGATCTGAGGGTAATAGGAAAAAATGTCACCAGACAGTCAAATAAATACAGTAATAAGAAACTTACGAGCAATATTGGCAAACTTTAAAATAGCTACTGATATGTTTTCTAAATTGTTATAAAAGTCACAACATTTGTTAGATTAAAACTGAAATTCAGTATACTGCATAGTATGGTGTTTGCACCTAAAATCATGAATGGTGAATGTAAAAGAAATGGTCAAAGGCTGTGCTACAAAATTACTTGTTCATGCATGTGTATGCTCACTTATTTATTCTTTCTCATTGTCACTCATTCTGACTTATTTTCACACTTATGTTTGCGACTACTGTATATCCATTTATACTTTGTTTCCTTTGGGAACACTTGCTCACATGTACTTAAATATGCACATGCAATTGGTATATACAGTACACTATTTTTTGTAATATTTAATACTATAATCAAGTTAAGTGCTAAATCAGAAGAGGTAATACAGCTATATTTTACATAAAACTAGGCAAAAATGCCACTACTACATTCATTTAACCATGAATGACATGTCAGTGAATAGTTGATTGTGGTTTAATAAGCAGTTCATGAAATTGTTTCTGAATGAACTCATCTCTGAATATAAATGTCCTATAAATTTAGTAGCATATATTATGCCTTAAACTGTGTATCAATTGTTTTTATCAAATTCATTTTGCTTTTGCTTTGATATAATCATTAATGCTTTTAGCTGTATGGATTGATAATTTTTTTTTAAGATGCCAATATCCAGTTGACATATACAGTAAGTCCACAGTTTGCATGGAAAAAACTACTTGCAAAGTGAACTGCATAAACTAAATACACTGTATTGTGCTGTACAGTAAGGTTATATGGTAAAATTAGGTTGTGTTCCAGACACCTAAAGGGAAAACTTTTGTTATTCTTAGCCCACAATATATTGTGTAATATTTTATACGGTATGTATATAGTTACAATTAATGAAACTTTTTCTTTTTTTAATATGAAATCAAAGAAAATAAAGGGGAAAAAATATAAGGAAAAAATTACATTAAAAACATTAAAATGTGTTCTGCCAGATTGAGGCAGGCTTGATACAATATGGAGATACTCATTGGCTGCATTCCCCCAATGAAAAGTAGGGGTGCCACGAGTACACTGAGAGACAACACAATAAGTGTCAAGGGCCAAAGACTGTTCAACTGCCTCCCAGCAGACATAAGGGAGATTACCAATAGATTCCTGGCCATCTTCAAGAAGGCACTGGATAGGCACCTAAAGTCAGTACCTGACCAGGCAGGCTGTGGTTCGTATGTCAGTTTGCATGTGGCCAGTAGTAACAGCCTGGTTGATCAGACCCTGATTCACCACGAGGCCTGGTCTCAGACTGGGCCACGGGGGTGTTGACCTCCGAAACCCTCTCCAGGTATACTCCAGTTAACAGAAAAATTTCTCAAGTATTGTTATGTTCCTTCCTGGTTTATGAACAGCCTAAACTTTAGAAGTAAAGCCTCAGTCAGTGGTGATTGAAGCATTGTGAAAGTTCACATGGTCGTAGAGTCTTTCCTCTTATACAGTTCTAATAGTGATACAATATTAATGAAATTCTTTAAAAAGTAGAATTGAAGACAACTATGTGAAACTCCATGAAGCTAAAGAAAACATTTTTTAGAAAGCTGTGGCTGGTTTAGTTTTTGAATTTTGAGCTATAAACATTGCCACAGTGCCCACACTTGCCTTATCTCATTCCTAACATGGCCATATTTCCTTAAATATTGCTTTGATGGGAGTACTGTAATATTAAAATTCTTAGGAGAATACAGTATCTAATACAGCATTTTTTAAAATTACATATGGCTAGTTCTGATTTTGTATTTTGAACCATGAAAGCCACCATCGCCTGTCCACACACACTTTACCTCGCTCTACACTGGGTGTATTTTTTCCATGCAAATCAAGGGCTGACTGTGTAAGCAACCTGTCCTCATGTATACATCATAAAAGCAACTTATTCCCCAATGCAGTACATTAGAAGACAGGAATACTTACCACCCTTAATATATACAAATATGGCTGGTGCCCTTAACTGCATTAAAGAAATTGTTCAGCCAAAAACAGCAGCTTAGTGTTGGACATACTGTACTATAGGAAATAAATTGATCCTGAAGAAAGTGTACTGGGGAAATATGTCAGTATGTGATGCTGAAGATGAGCACAGGTTCATATATGAAGTAACAGAATTAGTTATTAGATTCTTAAATTTTATGATAATGCCTTTAAAAGGTTTGCATAAGCTTACCTCATTATTTCGCTCAATTTAAATTGCTTAACTCATTAAGTTTTTATATTTTCATAAATCATTAAATGAAATGTTCACTGTTGCTAAAATATGTTGTATATACCGTACATATATATATACATATCTGTATTTTTCTACACATATTAATGTAAATACTTCCATGTACAGTAAGTTATATGGGAATTAGGCAACACATTCATATTAATTATGAATTCCACTCTTGGAAAATAATATAGAAATTAAATTTCAAGTATCATTTGTCTATAATTTATGTATAATTATTCTAAATTCAACATTATATTTGTCCTGAAGAATGTATTTCATAAACTGATATCAGAGATTGATTAAAAATTGCTGGTATGTTCTGCACAAAATGTATTATGCATTGAGTTAAGTAACCTAGAAATTACTGAATTTTATTGCATAAATTTGATGTTGCCTGTTGCCTTGTCCTAAATTTACATTTAAAGGTGCTGAAAGTTATTTTACATATTGGTTACAGAAACTACCAGCAGAAAGATGTGCAATTATTTCAATGCTATGCACTATACTAGATTTGTGATTCCTTATGTATTAGAGTAGTGTATTGTAATCTTCGCAAAGTCTGTCCATTATTATTTAACTATGGATACTCATTAGTTAAATATTATGTAATCACATGTACATAAGATCATATTTATTGATCTTGTTAATTATTAAAATGTTACTGAAACTTTTTGGTTTCATTAAAAATTACCCTTAATGTATTTGTACAATAGTTTTAATTTTGTAATTATTCATAAATATGTTTATGTACAGGGGTGAGTGTCTGATTCCTCTTCAGATATTCTATTTTATTCTGTCCATTGTACTCAGTGTGTTCCTTAGGGAAGATGCCTTGATGCCAGTTGGTAATTTGGTTCATTTTACAGAATTAGTTTACATATAAGCCTTGTCTTAGCTACAGGGCAGTATTATCCACCTAATACTTAAAACATCCCTCATACATTTAAATACATTCTTGGAAATATCTTAAAAATTGTCTTGAGTCAGGGAACTGGATTTATCTTCACCTTCCTCAGATAAAGCCTCCAGGTGCTGCATGACTTCTGGAGGTTTACATCCTCCTCTCCCTCCCACATGAATATAATAATAATCATACTGGAAATCATAGTAAATAGTGTGTCTGCTTATTCATGATAAATTAAAACAAT